TGTAATCAGGTTGTGCTTTGTTCAGTGAAGGTGCTGTGAACTTGTAGTCAGTTAAAGTCCTGTGAACTTGTAGTCAGTTAAAGTCCAGATACTATTATGTCAACTTGTTATCAACTTATCTGTGACCTTTTATGGCATATTTTTTGTCCATAATTTGCACTATTCTATCAAATAATCAACTGAAGTTGCTATGCTTGATGTGTCATCATAGATGTTGTCCATATTTTGCACAGAAACACATATCACATTCACAAAGAAGCAGATTCACATATGACAGTCATGTTGCACAAAGGTTCATATACATTCACATATGACATTCATGTTGCACAAAGGTTCAGATACATTCACATACAACCATCATGTTTCAACCCTTCCAAATAAAGGAAAACAAGACACCAATCACGACACCAGCAACCAATGTTGCTACAACGCCAAAATCCACTACAACCTGCCAATTCCTATTCTCTGGTTCCTTCTTTATCGAACCTTATTGCATCTTCAAGTTCATGCCTCAAATCGGCCAACCCATCACCAGTGAATTGAATCACTGCTGTTAGATCCACACTGCGTGCCCGTATTAACCGGCGTCGCTTTGCTACCCAGGGAATTGCATCATCATTTGCTTGGATTCGCTTCGTCGAGCTCGAAATCATCACAGCGCCCTTCATCGGCCTTCCTATCCACGAAATCCTTCGGCGCAGCTGCTGCGGCCACATGCAGCGCCTCCACGCCTGCCTGTGCAGCCTCTGCTCCTGCCTGCAGCGCCTCCACGCCCACCTGCGCAGCCTCCACCACCGGCTCACCTACGCTGCTGCCGTGCCACCGACTCTGCCGCCGGCTCGCCTCGCCTCCGCGCCTTCCTGTGCAGGCTACGCCGCCGGCTCCCCTGGCCACCGCCGCCGCCAAGCTTGGGTTAGGGTTCGGGGAGAGAGAAGAGACAGAAAGGAAGTGAGCTGCACGTTGGGTCCAAGCGTTCAGCTCGTATAGTCGGATGAGACAGGGGCAATACTGTCCATACAAAACATGTCACCGTATACATACATTTGTAGGTGGGCCACAGGTCGTAGCAAGCGTACAGAATGGCATCAATCACGTTCCACTGAAATTATAATGGCAAGTTTACAATATCGTGAATTGTAATGGCATATTTCAAAAGTCATATAATTGTAACGGCAGCATTCAAATTAACCCTTAAAACTATTGTTGAACACCACCGTCTGCTAAGGTACAAGTTGAGCCCTCGTTCAGGGTGGGCACCCGTGAATCGAAAACTAAACCGAACCGAACCGAAATGTCGGTTTTTTCAATTTTCGGTTTCGGCTTTGGCTTTTATTTCTCGGAGTTTTGGTGCTCAATCTCGGCTTCGGTTTGAGGAGGCAGAAGAACCGAGCAACAACACAACGAAAGAAAGGGTACGAACTCGAACGTATACCAGACAGCCCACGTCCCTATCCTCGCAATGCCCCAAACGAGCCCACCTGGCCTCTGCCCACCTCGGTGCCATCCCAATCCCCCACCCCCGGTCCCTCAGTCCTCACTAAGTCACGAGAATGCGCGTGAGCGGCTCCCCAATCTGGCAAAATCGCTAACCATTGCTACAGGGCGCTGCGACGCGCGAGGATGCAGCAGCTAGACGGCGGCAGCGCCAGGACGCAGCAGCTAGGTGGCTAGCGAATATGAAATGACTGGACTAGTGAGAATGTTGGTAGTCCAGTTAAAAATGTCCTTGACACCAATCACTCAAGCGATAAAGATCCATCCACGGTAACTCCTAAAACACACCAAAACGAAACCATTTGCCCACTCCATGAAATGAAATTTAACACTACAAGGTTTTATGTATACCTTTGGTAAAGGATCAAGTAGTTTAGACTCCCGGGACGAGATGAATTTTGAACAAGTCACTACTAAATTGTGTTGCTTCCTATTGGATTCCCTCTGACCCATGATGATACCAGTACACTGTGATCTCTCTTTGACCCATCTGCAAACATAGATACGAAATTTATCATTAGCTAGGAACAACTCAATAGGTGAACCTTGATATAAGTTTGTAAAGTAATTCAACCGTGCATGATGGAAAATACGCTGACGATGGAGCGGGCCACACCACAAACCATAACCTTGTCTGTTGGGTTCACCATGGCATTGGTGGTACGTGGATCCTTGGGCTCTCTCCGAATAGGAAGTTTTCAAGCGAGGATCTAAAGGAGTCATAATTGAAATGTAGCAAACATTAGGACATATATCTTTGTTTTCAGACACCACATAGTTGCATATCTGCACACTGTCATCTAGGCTCCCAATACTTTGGAAAACAATGATGCTAAATGAAAAGGAACATGGATTCAAACTATTGATGCACTAAATAGAAGAAAGCTCTTTTGTGCAGATCACTGAAACTAAAAAAACTGGTGTTCTAGACTTCGTGATTTATATGGTTCAAAAAAATTCACAGCTGCAAATGTTCAAACGATTCCTGCTTTCTGCAATACCAAAATATTTTTCCAAACCAAAGTCGACATAAACAACACATTAGAAAAGCAAGCATACGTTATATAACAAAAAAAAAGGAGAGCATAATGTATATGTAAAGCAAGAAGAAATTCAGAATACCTTCTGCAGAAATCGCACGGATCCTTCTACACTCCGCCATCCAGTTCCGCACATCCAACTTATTGCCGTCCGATATGGTTGGAAGCGAAGAGGCCGCGGCCTGTGCTGAAGGCAGCAGGTGAGGTACTCAAACCCTCTCCTACTGCTACTGCTGCAGCGGGCGTCTGGTGGGTCACCTCCTCTGTGCCAGTGTTGCTCCCACTAAGGATGAAAACGGAACGGAAATATCCCGAACCGAACCGTATCGTTTTCTATATTTAATCTGATCGAATCCGCATTTTCTTGTCCGACTTTACCGTTTTCGCTTTCGCATTTGAGATGTTTCGTATTTCAAATGTAAAAGTAGAAAACAGTTTACACATTTTTCGACCATTTTCTACTTTTCTACTTTTAATTTGAAATATTCCAAATTCAAAATTCGGTTTAAATGAATTTGGCCAACTGCACAGGTCATACAGCCCAATTACAGGCTGCTCACCACGCAGCTGCGTTCTTTCTACTGGTGGCTAGCTGCCCTCTCTTATAGACGGCGCACAGCCTCATCTCTCTTATTATGTATTTGGTCATGCACTTGTTTAATGCTATGCACTTGAACTAAATCATGCACTTGTTAGTTGTGAACTTGTTATGTATTTGGTCGTGCACTTGTTTAATGCTATGCACTGTGGGTCAGTATTTCGTATTGAATTTTCGCATACCGACCGTGTTCGACATAATTCCGCTCGAATTGGTTCGTTTCCGAAATTCTAGATATTCCGTAAGTTCGTGCTCGTTTTCGTGTCCGGCTTGTCCGCTTTCACTTTCGCTTTCGTATTTCAAATGTAAAAGTAGAAAACGGTTGAGGAGTTTTTCGACCGAGTTCGACCGTTTTCATCCTTAGCACCCACCCGCCGACTCCTTTGTCACGGCATCGATCCTCATCCTCTTGGTAGGAACCGGCACCGGACTAGCCGCCGCTTCCGTTTCTGTTGCGTCGGTCAGCGGCTCCAGACTACCCTTCTCCGCCGCCATAAACGACGGCACCGCCCTGCCGGCCAACAAATCACCGATCGCCGGGCTCGGCTTCACCCCCTTGCTCTAGAACGACTACCGTTGATGAGGGCTCGCTGTGACCTGAAACTCCATCCTCGTCTCTTCACTGGTCGAGCCGACGGTTCCGTAGATAATCCCAGCCTCTCTTTCATGAGTCTGGAACGGATCGAGAGAATTGCCTATTTGCCATTACAGAGAACAGTGCTTCGCAAAATTACCATAAGACCTATATTTCATAGAGTCAGTGGCACTTGTGAACAAGGAGGCAACGATTGTAATGGCACATAGCCAACTATATCGGATCGAGGTCGAGGTCACAGGGAATACTTGCTTGAAGTCTAAACAACCTTGAACCAACAACAGATTTGAACCTCTATTCTATCAGTCTGTTCGCTTGTTGGTTTCAGCCAGCCAATAGTATTTTCCTCTCACAACAAATCAGCACCAGCCGAGTTTATCAGCCCAGAAATCAATCAGCGAACAGGTTGTATATCTATATCTATACTTACTCCGTCCCTTTTTAGGTGTCGTTCTCGCTTCCCGAGAAATAACTTTGACTAATTTTATATAAAAAACTATTAATACTTATGATACATAATTAATATCATTAGATACAACTTTAAATCTATTTTCACAATAAATTTATTTAGAGATACAAATGTTGCTAACATTATTTTTTACAAATCTAGTCAAACTTACGGCATGGAACCAAAAGCGACAAATATTTAGGAACAGATGGAGTATATATTATATACCCAATCTTAATAAAGAGCTAAAATTTCTGTCAACTCTATTTCCACCCGCACACCATGCCACTTCCATAATATGGAAAAAATAGATGGGACCGTCCTCACCAGGACGCCATGCGGACCTGCCCTTGGTTCATGCCATCTAGATGAAAGATTACACCAGATTGGCGGATTCCCGTCTAGATGCTACCAACTAGTTGCTATGATACATAGTCCAATTCTAACATGTATTGTAACAAATAACACAATCACTATGTAAATCTCCGAGCCACAATTTGTTCATGTGACAATGTAATAAAATGTATGTTTCATTGCAACGCACAACCATTTTTGCTAGTTATATATTATATCTCAACAATAGGGGTGGGGTGTTGTTGGTTACATATTATGTGGTACAAACATGCCAACTGCATCGCAATATATGGATGCATTGTACTTATTTGACTGCGGATCACAAACGATATCATTACATTACATGCTTGTTTAGTTGGGCAGCGCACGGAGTACGATGGTCTCGACGGTGATGCCTGGGCCAAACGCTAAGAGCAGCCCCCACTCGAGGCCCTCCCCTGCCGTGTGCAGCCCCTGCTCAGTCGACCTCCACTATATCTCGTCCAGGATGAGGACGACGCACGAGCTCACCACCCTTGACGCTGCCAGCTTTTCCTTCCTCAGCCCGAACCTGCTCTCCACTTTGTCCAGTATCTCCCGCCCGCCAGGGTGCACCGCCCAGAATAGGCCCTCAATCCAGTCACCGTCGTCGTCACCAGTCAACACCCCGGCGTTCACCAGTGCTTTCTTGGCGAGCTTCTGGATGTTGCTCGAGACGAGCAGCGGCAGGTCACGGTTGAGTTTGTACATTACCCCCTCCTCGTACAGCCTGGCAACCACCGCCTCCTCCGTCCCCGGTATGACGCCCTGCGATGCCGACACCATCTCAAATAGGCCCCGCTCGCCGGTGCCAGGGTCAGCTCCGACGATGAGCGCGGCCGCGGCGTCCCCGAAGAAGGCTTGCCCGACAAGGTTCCCCATGTCGTTCTCTGAGGGCCCACGCACACCTAGCGCCGTGATCTCAGAGCAGACCACCAGCACCCTGGCGCCACGGTTGTTCTCGACGAAGTCCTTGGCGAGACGCAGGGCGAGGCCAGCGCCGTGGCAGCCAGTCTGGTACAGCATGACTTTCTTGGTGTAGAGTGGAAGGCCGAGGAGCCTGGCGACCGTGACGTCTGTGCCCGTCATGCAGCCGGTGTCCGTGGTGCAAAAGACAAGGTGCGTGATGTCCGAGGCATACCGTCTCCAGTTGCTAATGGCGGCCCGCGCCGCCTCCGCGCCGAGCCGGGGTTTGCCGTCGTCGACGATCTGTTGACGGAGGGTGAGGGAAGGGGACTTGTAGGCTGTGATGGACGTGCTGCAATGGAGCAGGTCGGTAGACATGTACGAGTACCGCTTCTCCACCATTGTCTTCTCACCTGCGACCACCATGCATTGCACTTGCACACATCAGAAGTTTTTTTTGCGGAAAACACATCAGTAGTTTATATATATGTACAATCTAATCTAATGAACCAATGCAAAATTTGATAGATTTTTCCAAGATAGATACATACAGCAGGTAATATAAATTGCATGCATGCATGTTTCCACATACATATTTTTGCACCGGCCGCCACCGGGCCTACCGTTGAGGAGCGGGCCATGCCATGCTGCCCCGCGTGCCTGGGGTGAGGCCTAGGCACGGCCTACTCCTCCGGGCCATGCTAGCTTGGGCCCGCAGGCCACCAGACCAGGCCGTGCTTGGGCCGGCCCAAAAATACGGGCCTCGTGCTGGGCTGACGGGCTCGGGCTGCATGCCCATATATACCCACCGAACAGCATCTCGGCACCTTTCAGCACGCCGAGGGCTGCTTGGTCACCTGAATTAGATAATTTTACAACTCCAAACCAAGTTCGTTGGGAATAATGTGGAGTCGATCCCAAACTCCACTTTAATTTATTTTCATGTTTGGCTAGCGAAGTTTGAAGTGAAGGAATTATAAATATACTATATATAATAGCATCTCCAAGAGATTGACCAAATCGTTTTCTAAAGGTAAATATGACTATTATTAAAGGAAAAACGTTTCCAACAGACTCTGTAAATGACTCTCCAAATTGACTCTCCAAATTTAGTAGCTCTCTATTCCACCTCATTTGCATTCTACTTTTGGATAGCTCACCTCACTAGCCATCCTTTATAGAGTCTGTTGGAGTACACTAATATTTTTTTATCAAATCTATTTTAGAAAGTACCTAAATCAGTAAATTTGGCTAATCTTTTTTGACTAATCTCTTGGAGATGCTCCAAGAGTCTGTTTGGCAGAGTTTCTACACCAGCTTTAGGAGCAGTTTGTTCAATTTCTTACCAAAGCCGGTGAAAAAGAAACTTCTCCCGTGGAGCTACCGAGATTTTTTTTTATTTGTAACCCTTTTTTAAAACAAATTCTAAATCTAACACCATTGTTTTTTTATTTTCAAATCTAACCCGTTTGGCCACGCCTAAGTCCCTGCCGCGGCCAAAACTCGCTGCCGTGCCACATGCATCAGCGCGGCACGGTCTGCCACGGTGCACAATGATTTCGACGTGGAAAACCTTGCCGTGTTGGCGCGGCAGCACTGCAGCACCGCGTCAACCAGGCTGGCGCGGCAAGACGTAAATTTGGAAAAATTGTATGTTTTCATACAATCTCGGATGAAGATGATCTTTATATGAAAATGTGGCTCTCGACGAAATCTACAATTTTCTAGTTATGTGTTTTCTCATTTGAAGTTGTTAAGATGACCAAAAAAATTAAACAATGTTTCAGCACTATATTAATCGCGTACAAGCGCTTGTATCCTTAGAATAATCATATCTTTCTTATACGGTGTCAAATGGAGATACTTTCTATATGAAAGTTGTAGCTCTCAATGGGTTCTACAAATTTATAGTTTTGAGTTTTTGCATTTGAGATCATTAAGATGCTCAAAAAATAATATAAACTTTCAGCATCGTATTAATTGCGTGCATGCTCTTGTCGCCTGGAAAAATCATATATTTTTTGTACGGTGCCAAGAAGATATTTTTTTCCATAAAAGTTGTAGTTCTTGATGAGACCTACAACTTTATAGTTTTAAGTTGTTTCATTTGAGGTCGTTATCTTGTGCGCGCGACGTGACTGGTTATAAGACTGAAGACTTTGTTTTTTTTTTGTAATTTGTATGGGAGTGAGAAATAAGTGCAGTCGGTTAGAAACTTGTTGATTGTACATCAGCAATTAGAGTGTTAACATGATCTGGGAGAGAGCTCAAGACTGGCTCAGATTCCTCAGCACAAGCACACCCAAGGATTGTCAACTCATGAGCAACCTTGTTACAATCTCTAGGAATTGCTAGGCAAACAAAAGAATTAAAATTTGAAGACACCAAGCTGTCTAGTTCCTCCAGGAGACTCCCAGCCAACGACGCTCTGTAGTCTCCATGATTGACTGCTTGTTGCACCAACGTAGCATTGGTCTCCAAAATAAGAGTGGTGATCCCCACGTTTATAGCTGTCTGCAATCCCTGTATACAACCAATCATCTCGGCACGAAAAGCATTCGGTAGAAACTCCACTATTCCTCGCCCGGCACACACCACATCGCCCGGCTAAGTCACGAATGACATATCCCACCATCACATGAATGTGACCGCATTCTAGCCCATTCTCCTTTTTTTTGGTTGAACGTCTGTGCGTGCTACGCTCTATGACTTTTTTTTCTATTAGATTAGATGGATCTGGATTATCTCCTATTCTATCTTATAAATATAAAAAAAAATCAAATAAATAGAAGTAATAAATATAGTATTACATGAGTCTTTGAAATTATGGTATTACATAATTTTGAAAGGCTTCTACGTGCGAGGCGGACAGGCATGGAAGGCTTCTATGGTTGGGACTCGGGAAGAGGAGACGGGAGGAGTACTGAGAGAAAGAAATGACGGCTAAGAGTGAAAGAATGAGAGAGGATGAGAAGGGAGTTGCTTTTATAGCTAGGTAAGGCAACCCAACGGACAATAATACTCCAAATCAATCCAAGGGTCGAGAATAATCGTGCCATCATCGTGCCGGCCCATTAACCGTGCCGTGCCCGTGCCGGCACTACGGGCCAAACCTTCGGCCCAGGCACGGCCCTAAATTGTGCCCGTGCCGGCACTGGCACTATGGACATCGTGTCGTGCCATGCTAGTGTCGTGCTTTTTCGGGCCAGGCCCGTGCCGGCCCATCATGCCTGACCCATTTGGCCCTCTATAAAGGAGACTCCTAGCCAAGGATGCTCTATGGTCTCCATGATTGACTGCTTGTTGCACCAACGTAGCATCGGTCTCCAGAATAAGATTGGTGATCCCCACGTTTACAGCTGCCTGCACTCCTTGTATACAACCAATCATCTCGGCCCGAAAAGCATTCGGTAGAAACTCCACTATTCCTCGCTCGGCACGCACCACATCGCCCGTATGAGTCACGAATGACATATCCCACCATCACATGAATGTGACCGCATAAAGAAGCGATTCTGGTTAGTTGTAGGTAATAAAATTATCCATGGACTTTTAATAAATTGTCTCTCATTAGCTTATAGCCTATGGTGGAGCATTAGTTAAGAACTAGTATGCTAGATGCGTTGAAAAAGAGACGGAAGTGCCTCAAGTATTTTAATTATTTGTTATCAGGGTGAAATGATTTAAAATGCCAATAGTACTAGAGGTCAGTAAACAATGACTGTTAATGGAGCTGTCCTCGTTTGCCAGTAGGAGCTTTTTGGTACTTATTTATCTTTTCTAGTTTTTCTTCCTACTACTAGGAGCTTTTTTCCAGTAGTACCTCTCGTTCCGTAATAGACGTGGACAGTGTACTACAAAACGGAGGGAATGAATAAACAACAGATTCTGCTCACATCGCATGGTTACGTCGATCTCTACTACAGGCAGAAAGGACAAATTTGAGCTAGGAGTAATCTCCTAACAAACAAGCAGAAGTTAGCCCGTGCGTCACTATCCTGCTAGAGGTCCTTCGTGCTTCCATCATTATACCTGCTCTTAACGCATATTCCTAACTCTTTCACACACAAAGCATTCTAGCCATGCTGTCTTTTCATAAGTAGGGGATGTAATGCGATGGGAAGGAAAATCAAATCATTTGTAGAGAGGAACTCATATGTTCGATTAAAACTCTACGGAGCGAGCGATTCATTCCTCCTCTTTACATTCTGTTGTGAGGAGCGTTGATCGGCGATGATGTCGACCGGCGACAGGAAGAAGAAGACGTGTGTCACGGGAGGGAACGGCTACATCACCTCGGCGCTATACATGGCCAACCGGACATCACCTCTTCATCATCATCATCATCGTCCTCATCTTCTTCTTCATTTTCATTTGAGGAGCTTGAGCTTGAACTTGTCTCAACTTGCTTGCCCTCCATCTTCTTTTTCTCGCTACATGCGAGAGCTTTGCCTTTGCTCGATGAAGAGGCTTCGTCTTGACCCATCTTACGTGACATTTCAAATGCCACTATCTTGCCAATGACTATGCCCGAGGTCATGGTGCTCAAGTCCTCCATGTTGTGAAGGATGGCGATGATGCTTGCATATTTCTTTTGTGGTAGCACGGAGATGATCTTCCTCACGATGTCCGCATCGTCTAGCTTTGTTAATCCTACTGAATGGAGCTATAACGAACAAGCTCATCATCATTCATTGTAAAGGAATCTTAATTTTGTTTAGCTAGACAATATTTTTGCTCACGGACATTAGATGTGCCATCATGGAGCTCTTGGAGTTTTAACCAAATTTTATGTGCCGTGTTTAAAGTGAACACTTGGTTAAACACATCCATGCTAAAAGATTCAAACAAGCAATTCTTAGCTCTAGCATTGAAATGTATTTCCTTTTCTTCACTCTTTGTGGGTTTATCGAGATTCTTAATGGGTTTCATCCCGTCACGAGTGACTCCCCAAACTCCTAAATCAACCGCCTCAAGGTAGCAAGCCATTCTAGCTTTATAATAGGGGAAGTTAGTGCCGTCAAAATACGGAGGCCTAAAGGTATCCATCCCAACCACACTAAATAGCGTCGGCTCAACGGCGGTTAAGCCAAAGGTCCAAATTGAGCCAACCGGGTCTGATACCACTTGTAGAGTACCGTGACGCCTAAGAGAGGGGTGAATTAGGCAACTTAAAATTCTAACTCTAAACTATGGCCTCTTTTTCTAACCTTAGCAAAACCTATGCAAAAGATAAACTATCTAAATGTGCAACTACGATTTTGCTAATGTATTACTATCTCTACTGCAAAAGGAGTAATACGATCAATATAAATGCAGAAGCTAAAGAGCAAGGTAGAGATATGCAAACTCCCATCGACGACTCCGGTATTTTTACCGAGGTATCGAGAAGCACGCAAGCTTTCCCCTAGTCCTCGTTGTAGCCCCTCGTAAGGAATCCCTCGCAAGGGCCAAGCTCCTGGTCGGGTAACTCCGTGGATAGCCACGGGCCTTCTCCACGCGCAAGTGGGTCTCCAACGTGCCTTCCGGCAAGCCTCTCCCGGATGCTCCCCGCCGTCTTCACTATCAAGCTTCCGGCCGAAACGCCGCGGGCCTTGTTCCCTCTGGTACACGGTGGCGGCCACACCACAAACGCGGTTGGTGTGATCTTGCAAGACTACAAGCCCCTCCGATGTACAACAATGGTGCGCGCAAGCACCGAGTGGTAAGAGGTATGCAAACCTCACTAAACACTACGCCTAAACCTAGAGCAAGCGTATAAGCAGTGGTCTAATCAACCTAAGCACTTCGCAAAGCACCTACGCTAATCACCTAATAAAACACTAAGCACTATGCAAGTGGAGATCACTAAAATGGTGTATCAGCACCCTTGTTATGTTTTCTCAGCTTAACACTCCTCAAATGGCCGGTTGGGGGGTCTATTTATAAGCCCCACTGAGAAAGTAGCCGTTGGGGATGAAATCCCGTTTTTCTGCTACTGACCAGACTCTGACCAGCGTCCGGTCAGCACTGACCGGACGCATCCGGTCACGAAAATGGCTCTTTGCAACCTTACTGATGTTGACCGGACTCTGCCACCCAGCGTCCGATCGCTGCTGCTGACGCTGCTGTTGCCGAGCCTCTTGACAGGAGCATCCGGTCCAGCGTCCGGTCACCTCTGTGAGCTCGTTTCTTCGCGATCTTACGTCCGGCTTGGTTCCTATCTTCGTGTTTGGACTTTGCTTGATATCTTGGGTCTTCTCTCGTGCTTCTAAGATCTTGCTTATGGTGTTGATCATCGGATCATCACGCCGCCTTCGTCCAAGTCATGTCTTACACCCTGTTGAACTACAAAACAAACACTTGTAAATTCTTTAGTCCAATTTAATTGCGTTGGTCATCAAACACTAAAATCCAAAGTAAATGGGACTAGGGTCTATTTTCCTTACATACGTGACTGCTCTGCTGTGCCTAGCCATGTCACGGTGCTATGTGCCGGGGTACATGATTCAGACAGAGCCAAGTGGTCTTATCGACGCTGTACCGGCTCCGTCTTTTAGAGGATCTTGATTTACCCGACCTCACGTGGGCTCCTGTAGTGAAGATGGTTCTCTCGGAAGTCTTCCCATGCGTGCAGACCTGTAATCTTTGCAGTCTTTGGAACGGGAACGTGGGTACGTTCCACGTTCCGAGAATATTGTTCCAATTCGTAGAACAGGAACTTGATGGAACATCGCGTTCCGAACACCAATGGACCGCGATCCACGCCACGGGAGCCACGTTTGGCCACTTGATGGAAATCTGAGGCCCAAAGTTCAATTGATGGAAGAAAAAAAGAGGAGAGGCCCGACGATGAGTTTAGATATCTATTTTATCTTTATTATTTTAGAACTTCCTTAGTTTTACCTTTAGTGAAAACTTATGCTAATTAATTCATTCATGATATGAACCAATTTAAAAGGATCATGTTTATTGTTTCGGGACACGTTCCCGTTACACTTGGTAAGTGTTCCATTAATCAAAGAAACAAGATCAAGCTATATACCGCTTGTCCTATAGATTTAAGAAACAATGTAGCACCTACCACATTCTCGTTCCACCACCCTAACGTTACGCGAACTTGGCTGCTATTGCTGTAATCCAAAACCTTCTCTTGGAAGTCTTCTCGTGCCTGTGGCCGCCAGGATCCTTCTCTTGGAAGCATCTCCGTGAGTGAGGTAGCCAGAGCTGAGCTACGAGCCAGAGACGAGTTACGAGCCGGCGCAAGGATGCGAGCCAGTTTAGAAGGTGCTACGTGTCATGATTTGGCTTCAGGTGCCCACAGCGTCCACTGGGGAACTATCCCCGCTGAATTTATTTCTCATGGAACTCAGAAGAACCCACGGCCCCACAAAAAGAAACCACTACACCGACCTCTCATGAAAATAAAACGAAGCCGGCGAAGAAAAATAAATATAAATAAACAGACCAATCGCGGCGCGGCTAGGTAGGAACGGCAGGCAGGAAGATTGTTAGCTGAAGCACGCCATGCAAGTGGAATCTGTATATATTGATGAACCACTCCCTCGCTAACCGCACGCTCAACGCTCAGTCCAACGCCAAGCGCGCCTCCCGTGAATCGAGCAAGTCAAACCATGGACGTGCCGCTGCCGCTGCCGCTGCTGCTGGGCTCCCTGGCCGTCTCCGTCGTCGTGTGGTGCCTCCTGCTCCGCCGCGGCGGGGACGGGAAGAAGGGGAAGCGGCCGCTGCCGCCCGGTCCCCGGGGCTGGCCGGTGCTGGGCAACCTGCCGCAGGTGGGTTCTCATCCGCACCACACCATGTGCGCGCTTGCGAAAGAGTACGGCCCGCTGTTCCGGCTCCGGTTCGGCAGCGCCGAGGTGGTGGTGGCCGCGTCGGCGCGGGTGGCGGCGCAGTTCCTGCGCGCCCACGACGCCAACTTCAGCAACCGCCCTCCAAACTCCGGAGCCGAGCACGTGGCCTACAACTACCAGGACCTGGTGTTCGCGCCCTACGGCTCCAGGTGGCGCGCGCTGCGGAAGCTGTGCGCGCTCCACCTCTTCTCCGCCAAGGCCCTGGACGACCTGCGCGGCGTCAGGGAGGGCGAGGTGGCGCTCATGGTGAGGGAGCTCGCCCGGCACCAGCACGCCCCCGTGGTGCTGGGCCAGGTGGCCAACGTCTGCGCGATCAACACGCTGGCCCGGGCGACGGTGGGGCGGCGCGTGTTCGCGGTCGACGGAGGAGAGGAAGCCAGGGAGTTCAAGGACATGGTAGTGGAGCTGATGCAGCTCGCCGGGGTCTTCAACGTCGGCGACTTCGTGCCGGCGCTGGCGTGGCTCGACCCGCAGGGCGTGGTCGGCAAGATGAAGCGGCTGCACCGCAGGTACGACGACATGATGAACGGGATCATCAGGGAGCGGAAGGCCGCCGGGGAAGGCAAGGACCTGCTCAGCGTGCTGCTGGCCAGGATGCGGGAGCAGCAGCCGCTCGCGGACGGCGAGGACAGCAGGATCAACGAGACTGACATCAAAGCACTCCTCCTCGTAAGTCTCCCTAGCTTTTTCCCTTTATTGCAATGGACCCCCGACGGAGTTGGTCCAGTTGGAGTTTGGAGTGTATATTCCACATGTACGTACTTTCTGTGGGACACATGGTGACCACAGAACCTCTTCACGGCGGGGACGGACACGACGTCCAGCACGGTGGAGTGGGCGCTGGCCGAGCTGATCCGGCACCCGGACGTGCTCAAGAAGGCCCAGCAGGAGCTGGACGCCGTCGTCGGCCGCGACCGCCTGGTCTCCGAGACCGACCTCCCGCGCCTCACGTACCTGACGGCGGTGATCAAGGAGACGTTCCGGCTGCACCCGTCCACGCCGCTGTCGCTGCCCCGCGTGGCCGCCGAGGAGTGCGAGGTGGACGGGTTCCGCATCCCCGCGGGCACCACGCTGCTGGTGAACGTGTGGGCGATCGCCCGTGACCCGGAGGCGTGGCCCGAGCCGCTCCAGTTCCGGCCCGGCCGCTTCCTCCCGGGCGGCTCGCACGCGGGCGTCGACGTCAAGGGGAGCGACTTCGAGCTCATCCCCTTCGGCGCCGGCCGGAGGATCTGCGCGGGCCTCAGCTGGGGCCTGCGCATGGTCACGCTCATGACGGCCACGCTCGTGCACGCCCTGGACTGGGACCTCGCCGACGGCATGACCGCGGGCAAGCTGGACATGGAGGAGGCGTACGGGCTCACCCTGCAGCGCGCCGTGCCGTTGATGGTCCGTCCAGCACCCAGGCTGCTGCCGTCTGCCTACGCAGCGGAGTAGAAAAACAAAAAAGCGGACTGGATATCCCCTATCCATATATGTCCGTCCGTATGCACCGTCAAATCATTTATATCTACTCTACGTGAATTATGTACTCTTCTAGTAGTAGTCGATGTGCCTACGCAGCGGAGTAGGAAAGATAAATCGGATTCTCGCCGGCTATGTCCATCCGTAACTCCGTATGCAGGCATGGTCAAATCCTTTATGTGAATTCAGTACTCTTCTGGATGTGTTTGTTTATGGAGGTAATAAAGCTTTGCGTACCATCTGATCAGTTAGGGCATCCCTAGATTACATTGGACCCAATAAGATCCAATTTTGTCATTTGGACCTCTACGTTTAATGGAGTATTCTGTTTGTGGGGGTGAACGGCGCGATACGGCATCTTGTATTATGAAAAGAAAAAGGTTCACTATTTTTTTATAATTACATTATTAGCAGACTTCATATATACGTACTATATATGCATACACGTTACAAGCACATTCTACCTACGTCCGAATGAAAAAGTCACATGGATCTTGATATCGACGTCTTTACATTGACCAGGTAGCCATATACCAATGCGAACGCCCACCTATATGGACACCTTATTATACCAGTACAACACAAGTGAATTTATCTATATCTATATATATATATACCTAATAATAAAGATGCAAAATTTCAGCCTATTTTTCGGTCCGTCCAATTTTTTGGTCCGTCTTCCCCTAACTAACTTCGTGTTGGTGTTTTGTCACCCGATGAGTGAATTTATACGTGTGTCGCGCTGCTCTAGTAAGACAATGGTAACATCTAAAGATACAAGGAATTATACTGGTTTCAGGCCAGAGCCCTACGTCCAGTCTCAGAGATAGTTTGAGTACGTGTTACTCGGTTGAATGCTCTGAAGTTCTTACAATGGGTATGCAAGAACGAAGAAAGAGGTAGGAGAGTGGAGAGGGACTGCTCGAATGAAGTCTCGAGAGCCCGTCCCTTTGGAAGGTTGCCCAAGGCTGCCCTTATATAGAGTCCAGGGCTAGGTTACATACAGAGAGATAGGTTCTCCTGACTTACTGGTCATGAGCTTGAGGGCGGGAAACTAGATATCTTGGCTTGCAAGGAAGGTTGTCTTGTCTTGGCGTCAGCACGCGTCCGGGTGTGGTTGTCGTCATGGTCATGCCCACGTCGCAGCATGGTGTGGTGTGATGCTACAGTGCCCGTCGTGACGGCACTGTTGGCACGGTGTTGGTTCGCCAGCTGTCTTGTGCGATGTGAGCTCATTGTGGCCTTCGTCATCGCCTTTCGTCCTTCTGGTGGCGTCAGGATGGGAGTAGGTAGCCGCTCCCACATCGTTGGCTGTCCTACTGGTCCTGAAGCCGGTGACCACGATCCCGAGCCTCGGGGTCGTGGCCCTCGTTGGTTTGATAGGCCTTGAAAGTCAATGCCGTAGTCGTGAGCACATCCCGTAGTGGGTGGGGCCATACACCCGTCTCGTCGGGCCGTATTTGGACGGTGGGTCACCGTATCGGTCGTCACCGCCTAGCGGTGCTGTCTTGTCTGCGCAGCGTAGCGCAGGGATGGCGTCTATCTATTCTGAGGGGATAGCTGTCCCCTCAGTCATCGTCCTAGTGGAGTGAGTGGGGCATGCCTGGCCTTGTCGAAGCAGGCGTACTTGATGGAGCTCGACTTCTCCCCGTTCCTTCCAGGGTCAGGTCGAAGAAGAGGTCGTGCGGAGCTGCATTGCGCGTAGTGAAAGGAGAAGGGAGAGGTCATGGTCAACCCCTTGCCTTGGCGCTTGGCTCAAGTCTACATGGCTTAGATGGGCCACGATTGCTCTGCTTGTGTTTGCTTGTCTGTCATCGGCCGCCCGAGCGGCTAACTAATTGGTGTCTTGAGATACCCGGGGTATCATAACCCCGACAGTAGCCTCCGAGTGTCTTCGCGATCGCGAAGTGGTCGTGGAGGCGATGATTTCTGCGTGTGTCTAGCGCGTGCTCGAGGTCATGGCTGGTCTGAGCTCGGAGCTCGACCCCTTACAGGCTAGAGCATTCAATGCAGTAGGTGACAGTTACGTCCCGTCTCGTCAAGCCACCTTGATGGTCCGGTACGTGACTGCTCTGCTGTGCCTAGCCATGTGAGGGTGCTACGTGCCGGGGTACGTGATCCAGACAGAGCCGAGTGGTCTTATCGACGCTGTACCGGCTCCATCTTTTAGAGGATCTTGATTTACCCGACCTCACGTGGGCTCCTCACATTTACTTTGACCACCCGTATGTTGGCCGCATCTCAACATCAGAAACCTGTAAACAAACAAGCTAGTACTCCTAGCTGGGAGGCAGAGTGCATGAACATACCTCGACACCCATGCGAGGGTGCATAGAAGTGGCTCTTGATGGAACACGCAGCGGCGAACACCAATGGGCGCGATCCTCGCCTCCTCCCTTGCAGCCACGCCGGCCACTTGATGGCATGGTGGGGCCCAAAGTTCAATTGAGCATGGCTGAGACATAGGAGAGTGCCGGACGAGAGTTTAGATATCCATTTTATCTTTGTTATTTTAGAAAGACGACACGGTAGGATAGTGAACACATATGCTAATTAATTCATTCCTGGTATAAACCAATGTATAGCACCAAGCTAGGCATGTTTTCGGGACAAATCTCAACATTTGTGCTAAAAATGTTCCATTAATAAATAGTAGAGAAAAACATGGTAAAAAATTTGGCTTTAGAGAGTCCATTTTTATTCACTAAACAGAAAAACGATACTCTAGTCTAGAAATAAAAAATGCCATTATAGGAGAAGCTAATGTACAAGAGCTGCTTTACACAAAGCAACCAGCGCCCCTGTTAAGAATCTCAACATCAAGGTTTGAAACATGAAACAAACAAGCTAGTAGTCCTAGTTGGGAAGCAGCACAGCATGAACATACCTCGACACTCACGCGGACTAAAGGTATCTGCTCGCCGGTCGCCGTATCTTATCTAAAGCCCGTGCCACGGCCTAGGTGAGATGGTAATACAGACCAAGAGCCTGAAGTGGGGTTGAACGTTCTTGGTCTCCGTAGGCGTATTCTGGTTCCGGCACCCTAACGTTACGCGAACTTGGCTGCTATGCCTGTAATCCAAAACCTTCTCTTGAAGTCTTCTCGTGCCCATTTCAGCAGGATCCTTCTCTTGGAAGCATCTCCGCTGAGTGAGGTAGGCAGAGCTGAGTACGAGCCAGAGACGAGTTACGAGCCGGCGCAAGGCGGCGTCCAGGATAGAAGGTGCGCGTGTCATGCAACGCTTCAGGTGGCGGCGGAGGCCACTGGGGAACTCATCTCTGGCTGTGGCATGGAACTCAGAAGAACCCACGGCCCCACAAAAAGAAACCAGACATCGGGTGGGGAAAAGAAAACGAAGCAGGCGAAGAAAATAAATATAAATAAACAGACCACGCGCGCGCGCGGCTAGGTAGGAACGGCAGGCAGGAAGATTGGAGCTGGCACGGGAGAGGCAAGTGGAACCGCTATATTGATGAGACTCCCTTGGGGGTGGCGATTTGCAGATTTCGCCAAGGGCTTCTATCCGGTGAACAGGCGGTAGTACTGTGGATACAGTATGATCAATGTGGTCGTGCATTTTGGTCTCGTGATTTTGCTGACGTCGTGTGGTGCTGCACTGCACCGCCGCTGCGGTTCTGCAACCGCACGATGTAAAAGAAAGTCCTGGTTTACTGGAGATTTGCCATCATTCGGTGGGAGGGTTTACGGTTTATGGGTTCTCATTTGAACCAAAAATAAAGCGTAAATAAGTATGAAAATTTGAAAATAAGTACCACCACCAGCCATGATGGTAATGCGTTCGCGTTTGCATTGATCGAATGATCGGCGTGGTATTACTGCGCGCCTCTGTCGGTGGAAATTTCATGATTCCACAGATCCGGAGCCGAGCACAATTGGCCCTCTTTGGCACGACCTTATATCGCGCCGGCTTCATCCAGGTGGCGCAAATCGCTGCGGAAGCGTGAAGCGCTTTTGTAAGTCGAGGTTAAAATGATTTAGACGACCGAAAAAAGCTAGCGGCGGCTTCAGGGCGTTTGGCTTCACCGGTGAAGCCGTTTTGGATGCACCCGTGCCAAATGGGCTTGGGCCACGTCGATAACGTCGCGCGACCATTCACGCCAGGTCGGTGGGTCCCTCCATCTCATGCGCGCGGTAACAACAAATCCCGAGACGAGCCAGGGAGTCAAGGACATGGAAGTGGAACAGCAGCCGCTCTGCCTGCTCTTCAACGTCGGCGACTTCAATCCGCGCCAGCCCGGCATGAGCCCATGGACGCTGTGGTCTGTCCAGATCCGAAGCGCGCTGCGCCGGCAGGTACGACGACATGATGAACGGGATCATCAGCGGCGGAAGGCCGCCGGGGAAGGCAGGGACCTGCGCAGCGTGTGCTGGCCAGGATGATGGAAGCAGCAGCCGAGGGCGGACGGCGAGGACAGCAGGATCAACGCGACTGACATCAAAGCCACCCTTCCTCGTAAGGCCGACGCGACCCCGTGATTGCAGTGGACCCTGGTGCGGGTTGGTCCAGCCGGAGTCCGGAGTGTATATTCCGCATGTACGTACTTTCTGTGGGACCGTGGTGACCGCAGAATATAGAATGGTGGCGGAACGGCGTCCAGCACGGTGGAGTGGGCGCTGGACAAGGGCGATCCGGCATCCGGACGTGCTCAAGAAGGCACAGCATCGAGTGGACGGAGAATTTGTCGACCGTATTTTCTATCGAACACCGACAAAAACCGCTTTGCCTCAGTGGCAAATAAAACGGCGGTGATCAAAAAATCGTTCCGGCTGCATGCGTCCACGCCGCTTTCGCTGCGGCGCGTGGCAAAGATGTATTTTGCGAGGTGGACGGGTTCCGCATCCCCGCGGGCACCACCGCAAAATGCTGGTGAACGTGTGCCGATCGCCCGTGACCCGGAGGCGTCGGCAAAGATGTATTTCCGGCCGAGTGCCGCTTCCTTTGGCACTCGCA